TCTCTTAATATCAACAGCTGGGCTGTGATCTTCACCCGTCTAGGAAAGTACAAGAATAAAGAAAAGGGAAAAGATATAGTAGACATCGTACTAATTAAAAAACAACACTTTTTTGTTTTATTTTGTCATTAGTTTAAATTAAAAACATGCACTGTTTTCTACATCTATACATATAAATAAAATTAGAGTGTCTGTTTGTAATATTGTAATAACCGCTTTTTACTACATGCACATGAATATATAAGCGGTACATACACCAAAATCACCGTTCACCGTCCTCGTCGAACCCGTCGCTTACTACGAAGGGCTCGAGAGCGAATTAACCCACAGACACAGCCCACTGAGTTTCTCGCCGGATCTTCTCAGTGGGTCGCGTTTCCGATCCGGTGGTAGATTCTGCGAAGCACTGCTCTAGCTAGGGTCAGTGTTAGCAACTCTCCGGTTAGAGCCCCGTGAGCTCACCTACACACGCTAGGGTAAACTGACATATTGTCTGTCTGTCTGTTTGTTCCGGATAATCTCTGGAACGGTTGGACCAATTTTGAAGAGACTGATAGGTAGCTAATGATATAAGGAGTAACTTAGGCTACTTTTTTTTTTTTTTTTAGACTAGCTTCGCCCCGCGGCGTCTCTTGCGGTACGACAATAACCGCAGGTAACATCGCGGGACTCTGCTATCAATAATAAAATTTAATGTTTCCGAAGCGAAGCGAGGGCGTGTTGCTAGTATTTAATAATATCAGTAGCAATTATATCAACACGTAAACATGTTCCAATTAGCACAGAAATACAATAGCCAAGAGATATTGTTCCAATTTTTTTTTCTTTCTTTTTCTTAAAAGAGTTTCCTTTCTCTCGCAAATTGTAATAAAATGTGTTGCTTTTTGTTAAGCTTTATGGCATGATATAATAAATAAAATAAAGGTATTTATTTTAAATGAAATGCATTTATTTTGCAAAATTCAATACTCGCTGACTAAAGCCTACAAACAAAAGATCGTTCTGCTTTGGTCGAGCCGCTATTGTTTCTAAATAAGTTTGCAACCTGGGACGAGCGATGTTAGGGCGCAGGTAATAATTCTTTTAAATATAATAACCTCACTGGGTATGATTTTTGTTTCCCGAACAATCAATCCACTGAATTTTTTTATCATTTCACGAACAAATTTTGTTAATTTATTTTAGCCGTGAAGCAGTAATACGTTTCGGTTTGAAGCGTAGGGCAGCCGTTGTAAGGTCTCAAGTACCTTAGAACTTATATCTCAAGGTGGGTGGTGCATTTACGTCGTAGATATCTATGGGCTCCAGTAACCACTTAACACTAGGTGGGCTGTGAACTGGTCCACCCATCTAAGAAAAAAAAACTGTATCTGACAAGACCAGACCGCTGAGTTTGTTTCGCCGCTTCTCCGCAAGACTAGGTAGTATTCTAGATACTGGTGGTACAGTAAGCATTCAACAAGTATGTTTTTTTATTGCCTTTGTAAACAGATGAACATACGGCTTAGCTGATGGTAAGAAGGTTACCGTCGCTCAAGGACGTCAGCAATCCCAGGGGCACAGACAAGTCGCTGCCTACTAACATGTAATCTTATTATGATAGGTCGAAAAACCTGTATTTTTAATACGCTTATATTAGCTTCAGACGTATGTATTTTTGTAACGGAATCTTTGAACATGATTTTGACCCCCTTCAAAACGTCGGATTAACTCGAAATTTGGTATACTTATTAAGGACCCACGCTTTTTACAATAAAATCATTTTTTCTTACACTATTTTTAATTCAAATTCATTAAAATTTATTTTCTATTTTTTTTGTTGGATTTTCTATAAAAGCGTATTTTGTTAGTTTTTTAAACTATTTTTTGTTATTATTTCATTTGGAGTTATGGGCGTTAAAATTGAAAATATTGTATCATAGATCATATACATTTGAATAAAAAGCCTTTTGAAACATTGATTTAAAAAGCTACATAAATGAGATAAAAACTGATTATTTATTAAAAGTGAACAGTAATAGGATTTTTTTAATTAACAATTTCAATGACGGCTATATATGAATTTTGTGAAATGCTCTGCACTTTCTCGCGCTTATATTCTCTTGATTCATCATAATAAATATTGACACTGTATACTCGTATAAGCCGTTCAGTAGAATAATGATATAAACCATTCCTGTAGAACTTCTGACACTTGTAATAAATAAAAAAAGATGTGTGGTGTCGTCGGGAACTGGATAGGAACAAAGTTCCTTATTATAAAAATATTAATTTTAAGTTCTATTCGAGGTATAAAGAAAATAATTATTCAGGTATACATTATTTATTATGATTTTTTTATTGATAAAAATAAATAAAAAACTACTTTACAAAGCTATCAACTTTATTTTAGTCACAATGAGTTTTAAAAATTATATAATAATAATATACAAAGAAACGGCTATTTATATGAATAATAATAATAATAATCGTCATCACGTAGACTATATATTAGGCACTGTATAGCCATCATACTAAGACTATACATAAATAATATTTTTTTTACATTACGGACGTTTTTTCCCGGTTAGGGTACCCCCCCGCATCTCCGTCTTCTACTATTGTTGACAGTTAAGTCAATCACCTCTGTATATAAACCTAACATCGATATGTTAAATTAAAACAGATGTAAATCTGTGTATGTCACGAATATATGGTCAATATCTAACACTTACCAACCTATCTCCCTTAATATTCTGCTAAGGAACTGAAGATATATGATCCGGCATTTGCTGGCGATAAAAATAGAAATCGATAGTTATGTCCGACAATACAAGTTCACAGTGAATTGATGCGCTTCTAAATCTTCATAGCGGAGCAGCTTTACTGCGAGTTAATACGGGTGTAATATGCTGTAGCTCGATTTCATTCTTATTCAACAGGGAATTGGAAATGAGTACGCGATCCATTAGGAATCGTTGAGTATGCTCGTGTGGCATCCAAACATCGCGCTTTTCCATCTATCCAGACCTTTTCAGGTATATTATATATATTAAAAAACCCTTCAGCTAAGTCATAATTACTAATACTACAGGTACCGCAGTAGTCGAAATTTGACTATAATTAATTAGAATTGTAAGTTTGTACACTATTATGATTGTATTTTATACTTCTATAATCACAAATTTCGCCAATGCTACACTTTAAAAAAAATATTAATAAAGACAAACAATATTTAATCTATTCTCGATTTGACCACAGACGTCAAGAACAAAAGTTTGACAATAAATAGTATGCATGCGTGTGTGCGTCAAATACATGGTATGTAGTGTGTGTAATGTTTCTTGTATTGATTTAATGTATCTTTTATGCATTATTAAAAAAAAATATTAGCCTTGTGCACTTCTTCTCTATATTCTCTATAAGTGTGGAAAATTTCATACTCCTCCGTCCGCGCAATTTTCGTAAAAAGGGATACAAAGTTTTTGTTTCACGTATTAATATATAGATACCGATTTAATAAAAACTACTTTTACTTTACCTTTACCTCCGTCGTTTCCAAAAGTTTACAGTAATCGTGAGTCGTCCGTGACCACGAAAACTATCAAGTATTTGAAACGTTGCAAATATTACTAAGTAAATAAATAATAGTTGGAAAAATAAAATGAGATTAAGCCGTTAAGTTACGTCTGCGAATCGCGAATACCGAAAAAAATATAACTAAAAAATGTTGACTGACTCAACTTTAAGTGGCATTGGTTTGGTCACATATTGAGAAAGCCTGATCCACATAACAGAGAGAGCACTAACCTAGAAAGTGTCTGGCAAAAGGAAGAGAGGCCGCCCAGAACAACTTAGCGTCGCTCGGTGGAGGAGGAATTAGGTGCTTAGGGCATGACGTGGGAGGAGCTAGAACAGACTGCCCAAGACCGATGTAAATGGAAGGATTTGATTCGAATCCTACACCCCAGCAGAGGGTAATAGGGAAGAATGATGATGATGATGATTATCAACTTTAAAAATGTCATCGCATACCACAACAGGTCAAATAAAGCAAGCGTTATACTTGACGTCAAAATTCTTCAACCGAAAGCGCTTGAACCAATTCCGTGCTATAAACCTTTATCTTTACTGACACTGCATTAAGTCTATCACACATCAAAGGAGGCGAGTCTAATACAACACAAATATTTAACAACATTGTCGCTATTTTCAAAGTCCTCACTCTCTGATTACCAATCAGTTTTACATAGGACGTCGAACGATTTCTTAAGAACTACCGAAACAACGGGTTTTTATGCAATAAAAAAATATCTTGAATTTCTTTGATTACTTCTTTAACTTTACTTATACAGATTGCTTTAAATGACATTTTCTCAGTAAGTAAGTAACTACTAATACATATGTTACTTGAAAAGGGTAACGCTGTCCAAACGTATCTGAAATAGCCCCTTAGGCTACCTGCGAATAGGTAGAGAAAAAAAAGGATTATAATATATTTTTTAAGCAGTCAAAGATTTTTTTATTAAACCAGAACATATTGTGCAAGTAGGTATTTTGTTTATTTACAAAATCCGTTTGAAATCTATAATAATGAATACTATATTTTTTATGTAAGTACTTACTTTACGAAACACAACAAATCCTATTTGTCCATCGAAATATTAAATTTGCTAATGCAAATAGGTACCTACTAAATACGTAATTCCTAAAATATACAAACAAAAAAACTCGAGTGAAATGATCGGGTCGCCTTCTTTTGTTTCTAACTGGGATTTTAACCCTTATCGGCGCGCGCGCGGGCGCAGGTATAATTTTCGCACCATAAAAACCGCACTGGACGAGTTCAACTCTCATTACGTTCATTGCTGTCGAGTAGAGAAAGTGTACAGTGTAAACCATAATTTATCTCCGAAATGAGTGAGGTAGCTATCGACAAATATATTTTACAGCAATCCAAGCCTTTGTTCTATAAAATTATAATAGATTTTCGAGACTGTCTCTTTAATGTGATTGTGTTCATGTTTCAGAACCAAGGACTTACCGTAATCAGGAAGCGAGGTCGACCCGCTGGACGCAACCGCGTTGCATTGACATTGGTAAGAACGACAACCTAATCAAAGCTCCTTTATTTATAAACGTATACGCTTCGAGTGACTAAACGTTGGTTCAATTGTAAACAGGAAGAGCGGCGCGCCCGCAACGCCCAATACGAGCGCGAGCGGCGCGAGGAGACCGCCGCCGCGACTCGCGAGCTCGCGGAAGCCGCGGGCTGCCCGCCGGACGTGAGTCTTACTCGCTCTTACTGTACAACAAATTATATTCTCGCAAATCAAGCACATCTCAATTTCTATATATTCGTATTTTTGTCACAGATTTCAACAGGGGATTTGCTTACGACGGTGATCGAGACTCTCCGACGTCGCATGGCGCCGCGACCCGGGGACGAGATCGCTGATCTACGGCGTGTCAACAAGAAGTTGAAAGCACAAGGTAACATCTTATTACTTCAGCTTCAAAGAAATACGCTTGGTATGCTCGTGGTAACGCGACCAAGCCGTGGTTCGTTGTCGAGGCAGGTACCTAACACGTGTTTATAAGGGATTCTCGATGTCCACCACAAAACACAACCTGATGCAAATCGTTCTAACCATCCAAAGTCTTGTAATCAGCGCACAATGGGCAATCTCTGAGCGACAAGACAATCACATCTGAAAAGAATTCGATATTTTTTCTTAAACTAAAATAAAACAGATCAGCTTAGTTCATTGTATACTAAATTACTTGCTCTTATATTAGCTGTGATCTATTTCTTTTTCCTGCAACAGTTATAAAACTGGAGCGGATGTTAGGGCAGGAGCAGCTTCCCTCACAAGAGACGGGTGCCCAGGAGAGCCCTCCTGCTCTGCCTGTTCAGGAGCCTCCACTTGAGTCTGAAGCGTCCGGGCTGCAGTTACTGAGTAAGTTCATCGACTAGTGCGTGACAATACATACATTAGTTTTCCTTTCATAGGACCTGTATTTACATATAGCTCTCGTTTCATTGGCAGGTCCTCACGAGCTGCAGTACTTGGAGAATCTGTTCGATAATGATCGGATGGGTGAGATTCTTCCGTCAGAAGTGGTATGTCGTTACTTCATTGGATTCGACTAATTCAGATTTTTCAGAACTATATCTATTAATGTGTTCAAAACTAATAACCTCATTTGTTCACAGGAATTCTGAAGTTCGGACGTCGCGGAACCCTGCCCCTTCTTTTTTCCGAGCCCTTCGTCGCAAGCTACGGGTTCGACGAGGACGGTGACCGGTACTTGTAGTACCTAAAAGCACCGTTAATGGATCGGGAGGATCCGTAATGACGGCCTGCCCCGAGGAGTGCGATCTGAACGTGTCAGTGAACAAAACTGTTAACTATAAGTGAATACGTGACTCCAACAGTGGCCTACACGCTCACTATTGGTTGTATATAATAAATTTATTAAAATCATGACCTATTTTGTATATTAATAGTATGTAAGTACGACTTTCATAAATAAATGGCATATAATTACTCTCAATTTTTTAATTTCTCTGTATTATTTTCTTGACGCTACACTGAGGTGTAACACATTCAACAAAACAAAACATCTAATGAGAACTTAATAAATACCCCGAACATTAACAAATATAGATGATGGTGGTTCGCGTCAGTCACACAGTCATTCAATAATACTGTAGCTATTAACTAATCATAAAGATATTAATGCATTCAAAAGAAATACATTACGAGTAAATAATTAAAATTTAATGAATAAATAATTAGAATTCCTCAAAAAACGTTTAGCGTAAACAATGTAATTGCGAATCTTATTTTTGCATTACCGGAGCCCATAGATATTAACAACTTAAATACCGCCACCTACCTTGAGACATGTCTTCTAAGCTTGCTCTGTAGAATAACGGTGGCCCCACCCATCAAACCGGGACTCATTACGGCTAAGCGGTAAAAATAGGCAGTGTGTTCGTACCTACCAGTAAGTCCTTAAGTCACACCCTTTTGTTTGCGCGGGGGGCCGAACCTTCTAGTAGGTCCCTTCGCCGAGGGCTCATGCGGTGTATCTGAGACTATCTATCTGCCTATATGTTGGAGGCTCCTCTGCACTCTCGCTTGAACATTCAATTCCTGTCCGAAACACAATTTGAGGGTAGGAGAGGTTAATGCCTCAACAGAACAGACGCATGACTCACCCGAAAAACGATGAAGTCATTGACGGGATTTGCCGACTCTACGTCTGCTGCATCGCAATCAAGAACGACTCTTCGTCGACTAACGGTTAAGACGCCCGGTGCATTCGTATGAAGCGATGCAACGGTATTCGAATACCGCAGGCAGGTACCAATATTTCTAATGAAACTCGAACTTAACAAATGTTCACGATTGACTTCCACGGTTAAGGAATAATGTGTAATCAAAGTTAAATCCACAAAATTATAATTTGTGTAATTATTGGTAGTAGGCGGTCTTGTGAGTCCGCACGGGTTAGTACTACCACCTTGCCAATCTCTGCCGCGAAGCAGTAATGCTTATCGGTCTGAAGGTTGGAGCAGCCTTTGTGTTAATAATCTGAGACTTAGATCTCATGTCTCAATATGGGTGGCGGCATTTATGTTGTTGTCGTCAATGGGCTCCAGTAACCACTTAACACCAAATGGACAATAAGTTTCTCCACCCATCTAAGCAAGAAAATAGTGCATGGACCATAGGGTCGGATCGCTTGAAATTGTGCCCAACGAGTTCTAAGGACCGGTATGTTCTAGGACGCTCGTCTGCTACGCGGGCTACGCAGCGTAGCAATCACAGTATGGAACCATTAAAATATAGTTTATACCTTGTACTGCGTGTATTTACGCTTAGGTTCTTAGCAATTAATTACTCTTCATTGTTCATGTGAAATAGCAACTTTTTGACGTGACAACGTCTTATAATTCGATGGAGCCGGCTGCACGCACGAAAAACATGACTTATGTGGCGTTACCTCGCTCTGAGGCGTTCCATTTAAGGCTTGAATTGCAAGTGAAAGCGCGCAACGAGCGACAAAGAGGCACAATCGGCCTCCGCGTTCGGCAGCGTTCGACATCTGCTTCTCTCCTACTTGAGTGAGCGATGCATTCGCGTGGACAGCTGCTATACAATAATACAATTCAAAGCACATTCATACTTGTAAAAAAACTACGTACATTGTAAAAAAAAATTGTCATAATTGTATTTATGCGTATAAATAAATGTAACTTGATCAATTCAACAGTGATTTCCATTTACCTCCTTCTCTATATCCATACAAAATATCTATCAAACAAATAAAATTAACATCGATCGATCGACAATCGATTTTTTTTCTTTTTTCGTTTCGTTACTTTGTACCGTGAAAATTAAAAGTTAATAAAATTATAATGCTAACAATGTTTTATTTTGTCTATTGAGCGCCACAGCTGCAGATCATTTGTTGTTGTGAATTGGGCAGACGAGTTTAATGCCCATACGATTATAAATTGCTACTGAATCTAGAGACACTGTAAAGGATTGACACCGGCCACCTTTAGATACGGTAGAGTCACAATTGCATTATACATCAGTTGTTCTACTCATCATCAAAACGAAATGAATCAAAGAATGTAGAAGTCCAATATATAATTAAAAAAAATGCACAGAGATCTTAACTGTAAACAATTTCATCAATAAAATTACTGCCGCGTACATAAACATATTGTTGGCATCAACTAACCCGTGATAGAGTTGTACATTTAGAATTGTCCATTTGTCAAAATCATTATAGGCACAACCGATGATGGTCCCTTCCTTGTCGGATGGGAATAGGGTGGCACGGGGATAAGCTTTACGCGCAAAACCCGTCACCTTGTACTCAATCTGACTCGGAGGAGTCATTCGAGGTTGGCAGTTATTTTATTGTCGTTAGGCGAAACAGATCTTCAACTAGACATTAACTGTTTCTTTCAAAAAATTGTAAAAAAAAACATAATATAATAAAACGACAACAAGCAAATAGTTTTATTTTAAAGACTTTATCTTCTCAGTAAGTAATTAACTACTAATACATACATAATAATTGTGTTACTTGAAAAGAGTAACGCTCTCCAAGCATATCTGAAATAGCCCCTTTGGCTACCTGCGTGTAGGTAGGGAAAAAAGGATTATATATTTCCCAAGAAGCCAAAGACTTTATTATTAACCAGGACAAATTGTGCAAGTATTTTGTGTATTTACAAAATCCGTTTGACATCTACCGAAATGAATACTTAATTTTTTATGTAAGTACTTACTTTACCAAACACAACAAATTCTTTGTGTCCATAGAAATATTGAATTTACAGATGCAAAAACTAAATAATTCGTAAAATGTGCAAACAAAAGACCTAAATGAAATGATCGGGTCGCCTTCTTTTGTTTCTAACTGGGATTTTAACCCTTATCGACGCGCACGCGGGCGCAGGTATAATTTTCGCACCATAAAAACCGCACTGGACAAGTTCAACTCTCATTACGTTCATTGCTGTCGAGTAGAGAAAGTGTACAGTGTAAACCACAATTCATCGCCGAAATGAGTGAGGTAGCTATCGACAAATATATTGTACAGCAATCCAATCCTTTGTTCTATAACATTATAATTAATTTTCGAGACTGTCTCTTTAATGTGATTGTGTTTCATGTTTTAGAAACAAGGACTTGCCGTAATCAGGAAACGGGGTCGACCTGCTGGACGCAACCGCGTTGCATTGACATTGGTAAGAACGACAACCTAATCAAAGCTCTTTTATTTATAAACGTATACGCTTCGGGTGATTAAGCGTTGGTTCAATTGTAAACAGGAAGAGCGGCGCGCCCGCAACGCCCAATACGAGCGCGAGCGGCGCGAGGAGACCGCCGCCGCGACTCGCGAGCTCGCGGAAGCCGCGGGCTGCCCGCCGGACGTGAGTCTTACTCGCTCTTACTGTACAACAAATTATATTCTCGCAGATCAAGCACATCTCAATTTCTAAATATTCGTATCTTTATCACAGATTTCAACAGTGGATTTGCTTACGACGGTGATCGAGACTCTCCGACATCGCATGGCACCGCGACCAGGGGAAGAGATCGCTGATCTACGGCGAGTCAACAAGAAGTTGAAAGCACAAGGTAACATTTTAGTACTTCAGCTTCAAAGGAGTACGCTTGGTATGCTCGTGGTAACGTGACCAACCGTTTCTTAATAAATGTGTACCTAACACGTGTTCACAAGGGATTCTCGATGTCCACCATAAAACACAACCTGATACACATGGTCTAACCATTTAATGGTTTGTGATCAACGTACAATGGGCGACAAGACAATCACATCTGGAGTAATATAATAGCATCACGCACTGAAAGAAATTCGATATTTTTACTTAAACTAAAATAAAACACATCGGCTTAGTCATTCTATAATAAGTTATTTGCTCTTATATTAACTATGATCTATTTCTTTTTTCTGCAACAGTTATAAAACTGGAGCGGATGTTAGGGCAGGAGCAGCTTCCCTCACAAGAGACGGGTGTCCAGGAGAGCCCTCCTGCTCTGCCTGTTCAGGAGCCTCCAGTTGAGTCTGAAGCGTCCGGGCTGCAGTTACTGAGTAAGTTCACCGACTAGTGCATGACGATACATACATTAGTTTTCCTTTCATAGGACCTGTATTTACATATAACTCTCGTTTCATTGGCAGGTCCTCACGAGCTGCAGTACTTGGGGAGTATCTTCGACAATGATCAGATGGGTCAGATTCTTCCGTCAGAAGTGGTATATCGCATTAGTTCGGCTAATTCAGATGTTTTTTTAACCATAAAAATTACGTGATCAAAATTAATAGCCTCATTTGTTCACAGGAATTCTGAAGTTTGGACGTCGTGGAACCCTTCCCCGAGGGGTGCGATCTGAGCGTGTCAGTGAACAAAACTGTTAACTATAAGTGAATACGTGACTCCAACAGTGGCCTACACGCTGACTATTGGTTGTATATAATAAATTTATTAAAATCGCGACCTATTTTGTATATTAATGGTGTGTAAATATGACTTTAATAAATAAACGGCATAAAATTACTCTCAATTGTTTAATTTACTAGTATTATTTTCACACA